ACACACACACACACAAATGGCTACAAACAAGCATCTTTCAATAATAACTTTAAATGTAAATGGACTAAATGCTCCAACCAAAAGACATCGAGTGGCTGAATGGATAAAAAAACATGACCCATACATCTGCTGTCTACAAGAAACCCACCTCATTAGAAGGGAATCACACAGACTGAAAGTGAAAGGATGGAAAAATATCTTTCAGGCAAATGGAAAGGAAAAGAAAGCTGGGGTAGCAATATTTATATCGGACAAAATAGACCTAAAAGTGAAGGTCATAACAAGAGATAAGGAAGGCCACTTCATAATACTAAAGGAATCAATACAACAAGAAGATATAACCCTGATAAACATATATGCACCCAGTGCAGGAGCACCCAAATACATAAAAAAACTTTTGGAAGATATCAAGGGAAAGATCGACAACAATACAGTCATAGTAGGGGACTTTAATACACCATTTATATCACTGGATAAATCCTCCAGAGCAGGGGTAGGCAAACGTTTTGACTCGAGGGCCACAATGGGTCCTTAAACTCGACCAGAGGACCAGATCAAAAGCATGGATGGAGAGTTTGTGTGAACTAATATAAATTCAAAGTAAACATCATTACATAAAAGGGTACGGTCTTTTTTTTTTTTTTTTAGTTCATTTCAAAAGGGCCAGATTCACCCCGCGGGAAGTAGTTTGCCCACGGCTGCCCTAGACAAACAATCAGCATATAAACAGCAATCCTAAATGACTCACTAGATCAGATGGACTTAATTGACATCTTCAGAACACTTCACCCCAAAGCCACGGAATATACATTCTTCTCAAGGGATCATGGGACATATTCAAAAATAGACTACATATAGGGTCACAAACAAAGTCTCCCCAAATTCAAGAAGATTGAAATCATACCAAGCATCTTCTCAGAACACGATGGCATAATCCTATATAATAAAAGGCTAATATGCAAATTGACCGAATGGCAAAACGACCAGTCGCTATGACGTGCACTGACCACCAGGGGGCAGACACTCAATGCAGGAGCTGCACCCTGGTGGTCAGTGTGCTCCCACAGGGGGAGTGCTTTCAGCCAGAAGCCGGGCTCACGGTTGGCAAGTGCAGCGGCAATAGCAGGAGCCTCTCCCACCTCCCCAGCAGCGCTAAGGACCCCTTGGGGGTCCCGGACTGTGAGAGGACTCAGGCTGGGCTGAGGGACCCCCCCACCCCACCTCCAATGCACGAATGTCGTGCACCGGACCTCTAGTATTAGAAATAAACTACAATAAAAACAACCCAAAATAGTCAAACACTTGGAAAGCTG